AGTGATGTCCCTGCTGCTTTCGACAAAATCAGGATGAGCGTGGAGTCTGCCAGAATAGCGTGCCATTGCCTACGATGGGCTCCACGCAGTGAAAAAGTGAAAGGGCTTCCACGGTGACAGCATCTCTGAACACATATGACCAAAATAGAAATCCTGACTGGGAGAAGAAGCTGAGATCCCTAGATCAGGCTGAGAAGTTCGGTGGTAACTCTGCTACCCGACATGGCCATAGGTCTGAGGCAGCCGCCCTAGAAATGTATAGAGCACTGGCAGTGACGGAGGATAGTCACCACCTGCTGCGATGCGGACTGATTGTGCCTCCCAGCTGCCCATGGCTTGGCTGCTACTCTGACGGGATCCTTATGAAAGATGGGTGGCCTGTTGAGCTTGTAGAAGTCAAAAGTCCTTTTTGTGGTGAGAAGCTCTCAGCGCATGAGATCCTCTAATCATAAGCTGTGGACTCCCTGCTATATAGCCAGGACGGTGAGTGCCAGCTGAAAAGGCGGCACCGCTACTCTTCACAGGTTCAGCTTAATATGGCTATATTGGCTGTTGAGCTGTGTGACCTGGTCATCTATGGAAAGGATAGTATCGCAGTGCTGGGTGTTCCTCGCGAGCAGCTGTATGTACAATGACACCCTCATTCGGTCCCTGCACAGAACTTATTTGGCAATGGTGCTATGATGCTCCCTGGCCAGCTATCTTCGGCCCGGGAGCTGGCGAAGAAGCTATCCCTAAAAGCAAAAAAGCGTCGGAATGACAGATGCCACAATTTTGCAACTTCATTACCCGCCCCACCGCGCAGCCATCAATTGTCCAACCACAACTACCCACCATTTGGTTTAGGCTGAATTGGGCCCGCAAATGTAGGTGTCGGACACTCGACCAAGACGTGTCGAACCGAAAGACGGTCACCATAACTCGCACAAACAGACCTAGAACCAACACCAATAAGGTATACATTGGGTCTGAGACATGTCAGTAAGAATGAGAAGTACTGGCGAGCGGTGCACAGGACAAGAACGGAGGAATCACGACCGAGGTAACTGAAAGAACTGCAGAGACTGCATGTTTCGCTAAATGGTATCTCATCAGCGCTCGATGAATGCAGCTCGCGTCAGACGGCCGCCTGACAACCCACAGCCTGCGCATCGGCTCCGCAACAGCCGTGGCCGTGGCCGGCATCTCTGAGAGCGTCATCCGCATCTCCGGCATTCACATCAAACGTGACAATTTCTGACGGCACGAGTGCGGTGCAGAGTGCAGTATTCAGCCAGTTGCACTCGGCCAGAGAGCAGGTTCCAAGCAAGATTCTGTGCAGGATCCTGGTAACAATTTTACATAATCTCTTGTAACAATTTCTTACATAATCCTGCAAGAATAGTCCTGCATGACAGTCATCCAGGATAGCTTCACTATGGGGCTGAAGCTTTTGACCTCTCAATGGAGCTTCCCCCTTAAATAACCACTGATATGGGACTGTAACGAAGAGACTCGGACTTCATGGTGCGTGGTATAACTAGCAATGGAAGCAGAGTGTGGGTTACTTCCGTCAAACGGACTGTGAAAGCGGTGAGCTTAAGGAGTCTCCTCTTAACTGTGTCACAGAGCTAAAAAAAAAAAACTGGTATGAAGGTGGTAGCCAGTGTCTGTGGCATGGGCGCTACCGATCAGCAGGCATACAGGATGCTGGGTGTGGCAGACGGGAGCCACAGCTTTCTGCGCGACGGTGTGCGGGTGGTGACTACCTTAGACGTGACACACCTGCTCAAGTGTCTAAGGAACACGATGCTCACTAATAACATTGCGATGAACAGTAAAACGGCAAAATGGAGCAACATCGAGGCTCTCTTCGAAGCCAACCGCGACAGATCCCTGACAACTGTGCTGAAACTGAAATCGGTGCATCTGCGGCGCTGAAGAAGATGTCAGTCATCATTGGACCTCAGGTGCTACCTACCTGGCCGCTCAACTCCTTGCTTGTTGTGAACCGGAGCTCCAGTCCGTCTTAATCCGAGAGGACTCCACGATTTCTGATAAGAGTGAGGCGGAGATCCTGACTGCCATGAAGCGGCTAGTCGTGATAACCCACGGAAAAATTTAGTGATTTTTGGAAAATCTAGGCAATTTTTTTTAATTTTGAGATTTTTCGAAAAATCCCTAGATCTATTGATTTTTCCCGGGTCAATCGAGGTCATATATGATGACGTCATCATTAATGACGTCATCAGTGCTTAACATCAACCACCCTTCCTATACAGTGTTCCTATACAACTAACCGGATGTTGCGCGTTAGTAAACCGGAAGCTGCGTTCTGCGCATGCTTTCTGGAAGCTTCGGCAGGCGAGGTTTTATAAGGGGTTGCAGCAGAGCGGCGTCCTCTTTCGGCTCCGAAACATCCGCGAGGTACGTGCTCCCTGTCGTGTCTTGCTGTATAGTGCTTGCTGTCTGTGTGCGTGTGTTGTTTCGTCAGTATCTCTGTTGTTTGTGCTCCGATTTTGTTGATAAAAAAAACAGAATGTAGCTGAAAAAAATTGTCTGTGCTTCTGTGTCTTTTCCGTGTTTGAGTTTTGTGAGTGGGTTGCGTGAGTGAGTTCTGAGTTTTGTCTTGTGTTTTGTGTGGTGTATCACTATGTCTGAAAACTCGCCCCGAGCCCCTATCTTGGATATGGAGAGCTCCGAGCTAGGGAGCGCTGCTGGAGAGATGACCCCGGACTTTGATCCAAACAAACCGTCGACGTCAGGGCTCCCTCCGCCGGAGACCCGCCCGTCCTCTGATAGCGAGTCTGACGACGATGTCCCAGAATATGATATCCCACGAGCGCTGGGACCACCAAGTGACCACCAGCTTAAAGAAAAATACGATTGGTTCGTCTATGATGACATCTTTGCCGACCCATCTTTTGACATCCAGGCCGCTGAGTCGAGTGAGTCCGGCACCGAGTCGGATAGTGAGGCCAGTCCAACGAAAAAGGTGCCTCGTACTGAGTCGAGTGAGTCCGGCACCGAGTCGGATGGTGAGGCCAGTCCAACGAAAAAGGTGCGTCGTGCGGTTGTGCGCCGAACTCCCTCTCGCGCACCTCCCAGTCAGGACGGGGCGGGGGAACTGATTGACTGGGTGCCCCCGTCCGGGTGGGCGATCAAACGAGGCTTCCTGTGGTGCCCGAAGGCGTGCCGGATGATCACGAGGCGCGCTCTGGTACTGCACGTGCGGTGGTGTCACAGCTGCCCCCTAAAGGTGGAGCGCAACGGGCTTGCCGACATTCAAACTTGGTGTGCGCCAAACGCCGAGGAGTCAGTAACTTGCTCCTGCGAGGCGAGCATTTATCGAACAGAAAAGTACGGGGTCCGCACAGCGACACATCAAAAAAGCAAAAGCTCACAAAGGTCATGACGTCACAACAAAGATAAAAAGTCATGAACACCATTTTCATGACAGTCTCAACCTCGAAGCGCGCCGCGAAGGCTACTGGGCTACCTCGAGTAGTGCCCAAGGGAGCCGCCGACGAACACGCCGACGAGTGCGAAAGCGAGGCGTCGGCGCCATCGACGCCGTCCCGGTCGGCTCCCACCGCTCGTGGCGACCCTCCGGGCGATGACGATCTTGACGATCTTGGCGACCCAAGCGGCGGTGCCGCCCCCAGCGATGAGGGGCGGGGACCTCAGAGGAGCAAAGTGCCTCGCGTCGCCACCTCCAAAGCGACAACAAAAAAGTACTCGAGTCATGCGGAACGGGTCCTGGCCCGCACCGTATCGCGCATAGGACCTTACAGCCGCCACATGACGGCAGAAATCATGTCCGAAAACATGCCGGATGCCACTCGGCGTAATTACATGTACCACTTGCGAACTCTTCTCATGCGCGCGGGCCTCTTGTTCAAAAACGACGGACTTGAGGCCTTCGACTTCAGGCACCTCCTAGGTTCGCCTCAGAACGTCGAAAAGGTCAGGAACGTCCTGGGAACGGTGTTCAAACGCCACACGTCGACCGGGTACCTGATGCTAAACGCAATCAAACATGTCCTGGCCATCATCCCGCGTCGGGTCTTCTTCCTGGGGGACGACCTAGCGATGCAATGGACGAACCTGGTTCCAGGTTCCAGGTTCCAGGTGGAACCAGGTTCGTCCGTCCGCTCACTTGCACAGCGTTTGAGCTATATTGAAGACGGTGATATCGGACAGCAAAGTCGTCGAGTGGCAGGACTAGTGCTCGGCAAAGCCAGAGGAGTTGGAGATGCAGTTCAGGGAGATGCAGGAGCTTGCAGCTATGGCCGCCAAGTTCAGCGTGGGCTCCATCAAGGACATAAAGCCGGAGGAGTTCATCGGCTTCGGGATGAAAGACTCTCACGTCTATCGGGAGATGTTCATGGAGGCCACGAAGACGATGGACGCCAACAGCCGGACCTGGGTCATCATCTTGGCAACCACCGTCAAGAACCGGGAGAGGATCCTGGTGGAGCTGAACACCAAGTTCCTGACGGCCCCGTGGCGGAACACCGTCCAGAACTTCTTCATGACGAAGACGGTGACCAAGAACAGCGACAACGTCGGGCCGGAGAAGCTGATGCCCGTCGTCAGCATCCCGGCCTACATCCCCCCCATAACGGCCCTGGTGTGGAAGCAGATGAAGGTGCCGACCGAGAGGACGTACGAGAACTTCGTCCGGAACCAGTGGGTGGCCCAGCTGTACGTCTTGGACGACGTCCTCGCAGACCAGAGGAGGTTCGAGGAGGACCTCTGGGAGAACCAGATCACCAAGGGGGGCAGGACGTACGAGAGGGGCTTCCAGGAGAAGTACTGGCTGACCAAGTCGAAGGACCGGTACCCCCTCCTGATGTGGAACATGACCAGGTACCTGCCCAACAAGGAGGACCCGTACACCAAGGTCGACATCGAAGCCTGGCTGAAGCTGACGGGGGAAGACCAGGCGGGGGAGGACTAGGCCCTGACCCCCCCCGCGATGATGGAGACGATCCCGATGAAGAGGGAGGTCGAGAGCAGGGCCAACATCAGGGCCACGGAGGGGCAGGTCCTGGAGCACCTGGTGATGCTGGTGTCGCAGACGTCGACAGCGACGACGACAGCGACGTGCCCGGGGGGGGGAGGTGAGCACCGAGTGCCCGTCCGACGAGGAGATGCAGGCCGAGGAGAGGACCGAGGCCACGGTGCTCACGAAGGTGACGGAGCAGAGGGCGGAGAAGGGCACGATAGTGTACATCGACGCCAGGGCGGACGTCCTCTCCGAAGCCGAGGCGGAGTTGGAGGGCTTCAAGAGGAATTTGGCCATCGTGAGGGAGAAGGCCAAGGGGGCCGAGAGCCTGACCCCCATCCCGTTCAACAACGAGTCGATGATCGAGATCAGCTCCCCCATCGCCGACAAGAGCTGGATGGGCAAGGTGAACCCGATGGAGACCTCGAACGAGGTGTCCCTGGTGAGCGAGGAGGGGGCGGAGGGGGGCCTCGGGCTTGGCCAAGAACCTCCACTCGACCCCGGCGAGCTCCCAGTGGACGGTCGCGAGCACCAACACTAACGAGTCCAACCCCTCCAGCCAGGCAACGGACCCGACCTGGGACGCCTGCCTCACCCGGCCGGGTCCGAGCTGACGGTAGCCAGCACCGGCTCGGCCGGGTCATGGATGAGAGATTACCATGGATGAGAGAGAGTAGAGGTAGTCTGCATACACGACGTGCCGCACCTCATCAAGTGTCTGAGGAACACCCTCATGAAGCATGACATCCTCGTAGATGACAAGAGGGCCTCTTGGTCTCACGTGACCGAGTTCTTCGAAAAGGACTCTCAAAGGACGCTGAGAAGCGCTCCGAAGCTCACCCGGAAACACGTCGCTCCCAACAACTTTCAGAAAATGAAAGTTCGGTACGCCGCCCAAGTGCTCAGCCGCTCCGTAGCTGTTGGCATCTCGCTGTACAGCGCATGCGGTAAAAGGCGGTTCCTGACTGTAAACTTTAGTAGGCCAAACTCAAAACTAAAATAATTGGTGACTGGAATTAGCTCGTTAAATCAAACACCACTGAAATATTGTGAAACTTACCATATTTTCATAGACTTAATGCTCCGTTATTTAATGTCCACCGAAGCACATACTCACCTAACGGTCATTTGGCAATGGACTGGTTGCCTGTCAGTATAACAGGTGAATATTTAATTATTCTTAGTAACTATTTTTCGAATACTTCCGTCGTGAAGTGATTATAACATTTATGCTGGTAATATAGTTATTATTATGTGTTGGCAGGCATGTTGGGGAGTGGGACCGGATCGGAGACCAGGACTGCTGATCCTGAGGACACGGCGGTATTCCTACAGCGCCTCAACGACACTTTTGATGTGCTCAACTCCAGCACCTTCAAAGCTGCTAACCCGATGAAGGAAGCCATCAGTGGGAGAAACATCGAGGACAGGAGACGCTTCCTCCAAGATACATCCGCGTGGCTCGGAAGCTGGAATGTGCAGGTAAAGACTGACGTTCGGCGCGATGTTCGGCTCCGCATTGTCAATAACATTTATTCACAGCACACGTCTTCCAATTCGTAACATTTTTATTCGCGTGTCTGCTTCATAAGTCCTCGAACGAGATCAAAGACAGCTATTTTAGGTACATCTTGAGATCAAAGACCTGCTGATGTGACACCGTCGTTTCGAAATTTTCACAATTTTCGCCAAATCAGTTTTACTGCATGGATTTTGATAAGTCGTTTTGTTAGGATTTTATCGCCTTGATTATGAGGCCGTATTGAACCGTTATTATCATAAGTGGTTTGTATGCAGTAACTTTTTTATTGTAATTGTGATCATTTGTGCCTTCAGGTACCGTCGGTGCGTGGTCTGCAGCTCACCATCGCTGGCGTTCTATCGCTGTGGGACACCTATGGTGGACGGGTCCTGCAGTTCATGCTGACTCGGCGCCTCAACCAGGATGCCTGTGAGAATCTCTTCTCAGTCATTCGGTCGAGAAATGGACAAAATGATCTGCCGAGTGCCGGATGCCAGTAAGTTTCGAATGGCCCTCCGTAAGACGGTGGCAACGAACATTCTTGCGCCACCGACCGCGAACTGCGAGCCAGATGGCGACACGCTCCTCACCGTTGTGACGTCAGTGTCCCGCAGGGTGAGGTGCAACCTCACGCAAGTGAAAGTGTCCTTAGCGAACTCCGAGCCAGTTGACGTTTCACTTGCACCGATCGATGCTACGATGTCGAACATTTTGACGTACGTCGGCGGCTGGGTGTTGCGACGTGGTGCGGAGAAACATGCCTGTGTTCAGTGCTCTGCTGTGCTCGCAAAACCCGATCCTTTGGTGTGTTTTGAACGGGAGATGATGTGTGGACTGAAAAGCTTTACCGGTGCATCAGAAGTAGACGCCGGAAGCCTGGTAAAGCCCACACAGGGCTTTTACGAGATTGTCTCGTACGCTTACCGCGCTACCCAAGTCCTGTGGCCGGCTCTATTCACAAAGTCGGGAATGCTGTCGGTAATCTTAAACCGTGTCATGACTTCGCAGCCGGCGCTAGATCTATTGGCCTTGCTGTGCGATAAGAATGCATTGGTTTTCATGATCACCCTTTTCATTCGCCTGAACCTGTACAGGCTCTGCGAACAGGGATCCTCTGGGCGAGCGCCTGCGCAGAAACAAAACAGGAAGCTGCTCAAAGTCACATCTCGAGCGTAGTCAGATAGTGGGGTGACGAGCAGGGCTGTGCCATCCTTTTCAATGATCTCATTTTCATTTCACTAGGCTGAACAGTCGCTCTTGCAGTGATGGTTGTGCAAGCTCGATGTCGAAAGTTTTTTTGCATGTGTCTAAATGTGTGTATACTATATAGCGTGACGGCAGGCTGACACGTGTGCGCGCGCGTGTATGCTTGTGTATATGTAGATGCGAGTGTACTGAGGGTGTCGCTGGCGGTTCGACCTCCGCTGTCAGTCCCCACGTGTGTGGTGTGTCATGGGATGATTTCTGACGTCATCGGTCGGGGTGCGGCGTCTTGGGCTGATGTGCGGCGTAATGGGGTGATGCGCGCTGCTGTCGAGAGTCGCCGTGTGCGGGCGAGATGACAGTGATTAGAGATGAAACGGGAGCCAGCCGCTCCCGTTTCCCTGTGCTGCACCGCTCCCGTGTTGCTGGGCTGCACTGCGGCGCCTCGCGGCTCCAGTGGCTGTATTCGGGACTCCGCCAGGCCCCAGCGACGGTCTCGCGAACCATCTGCAACCGAGTGGCACGATCGTGGACCGGTATGGACTCCACACTGGATCGGGCGTCCGCCGTCCTGCGCGTGGGCTGAGCTCGGGCCGTTTGTGTCTGTGTGTGGGTGCGTGAGGCGCGCTCTCCGCGGACGGAGAGACGAATCTCGTGTCCAAATGACTGGGCTGACTGGCGTATCGTAAGTGTATTATCGTCAAAGGATACAATGAACAAACTAATTGATCAATGATCATGATCAATCACTGAACGTCTTTTCGGGCTTTCTGTGCCCACTGCAGATTTTGAGTGGCGGGTGAGGGGGAGCATGCAAGCCAAGCCCATCCAATTCCTCTTCCGACTCCCGTCCGTATTATACTGGGACTTGGTTTGTAAATGATCAGAAAACAGATATGGGCATCACTTGTGCCATGTTGTAACATTTTTCAACCCAAAACGCCTAAAAATATTCGCGGAACATATCCCCGTCATTACGCTTTACACTGCGGCCCACCGCGCGTCGTGGCTAGGTTTAGTTCATCTGTTGGCCGCTAGGTGGCCGCGCTGGTCGCTGACATCAAAGGGGCCGACGCCGAGACTCGCATCCATATATCTCTCATCCATGGCCAGGCTCTCCAGCGGCCGCCAGCCAGCCGCCAGCCAGCCCAGCCAGCCCAGCCGCCAGCCAGCCCAGCTGGTGCTGCTGTGGGAGGTTAGTAGTGCATATAGGTACTTGTATCTGTCCACTGTAATCTATATAGCGCATCATCGAATGTGTAGAAGGTGATGTAAGCTATTGATGATATCTTGACAGTCGTTATTTCTTCCAGCTCTTTTGCGAACTTTGAGAGCGAGAGTTACAAGTGCAAGTGGGCTGACGGCGATGGCTTTCAATTACTATGCGAGCACCTCACCTAATGCACTGAATACTCATGACTGATAGAGATCGGTACCAGGCATACTTTAAGCCTGGAACACAGCTTTCAAGTATTGAAGACGCGTCATTTTACCTCAGGTTTGAAACCATGGCATATGCTCTGTTCCGAACACGCAGCAGCATAAATTATTGGAAGCAGATAATTGCCATGAATTCTAATGCTAGGTGCGCCGTGCAGACGCGTTTTGCATGCTTGAAAGCTGTGTTTCAGCATGACATGGGCACTATTCTGTGACAGGGTAGTCGATGAGTAATAACAGGCTGCGTTTATTTCACCCCCAGGTGCTCATTGATGCCGACGGCGGCAGAGTCGGTTTGATGCGGCAACCAGCGTTGCACAACGCTGCTGGAGGTGAATCGTATTATTAACGTGTTATTGTTATTTTTATATTCGACTGCAAAGGAATAATTTTCAATACCAACAAGTAGTGTAAGCGATCCTATGTGGCTTGACTATCCAATGAACTGGAATCGATTTTGACAGCGTGCGCCTGATTATCTACTCTTAACTGTAATAAGAGATTCCTTACTCTCATTTGATACATTAATAACTATTGGCTGCCAAGAAATGTTTTAATGCTCGGACACGGACACTGTTTCGGAAAGCTGTCAACGGATGCGTGGTCTGTGATGATTAAACAAATCATACTTTCTCACAGGAGTTCCACGTCGTCGTCAACGACCCAGTTATGCTGGAGCTTGGCCGGCTCCAGCATAATGAGCGCTGGGGCGAGCCGGCTCCAGCTGCCGGCGACGTGGAGCTCCTCCACAAGCAGCTCCGGTACCAGGCGTACCGGCAGTACGCTTTGTGGTGGTAAGTGATGGCACCATTATATATAACTACTGAGGTTGCATTCGAACATTCGATTTGTTTTTGTCTGGTATATCTGCAATTGATTGTTTTGTGCATGACATTTGAAGCAATTATGCGGTAGTTTCATTTCGTCCTGCCGTCTATCATGGCAATTACTATGAGCTAACCACAACCAATTGTAATGTAGGTACGTTTGATATGATATTCATACACTAAAATACAGATTTACACCTTGTACATAGTGTAGGAGGGCTCCTTCTCCTGTGCCGCCGCCTATTGCTCGGGCTATATGTAGGCAATGAATGAACTGCCGCCAATGAATGGACTGCCGCTCCGAGACCGACTGAGTCAGAGTCGGAAGTGGAACTCTGCCGCTGCGAGCGCCCGCGGCTACAGCTCACGCGCCGTGGGCTATTTGCCGTGCTCTGCGGCGACGGCTGTGGCAGTGATGGCGGCTGCTGATTGGCTGGCGCTGCGACGCCAGGGCAGCCGCCGATTGGGTTTTCTCCTGGAACCTTCTCGGACGAAAGGTCGTCTGAAGGTCATTGTCATTGACGGGGGATTCGGTCTGGAGCGGGGGGCTACGCTGGGAATTGAGACTTGAACTGGACTTTGACTTTGGTTTCGAACTGGTCTTGCTTGCCAATACAATGTGACTAATGTTTTGCATAAAATCTATCACGGCCATGTCTACAATAGTATATCTCAATTCATCGCGTAAATGTGCGCGCCTAACCAGTAGACGGTAAGCGAAGTGTTCGTGCCGGCGCATGTGTTCAGGCATAAACATACAAACTGTTCTCGTTTCCAGGTGGGGCACGCTGGGCCGGTCCCAGCGCCGGGTGATTCCCGCCTGCGTGGTCTGCGCCGTTCGGCGCGCCCACCCCAGCCCGCAGGGCTTCTACGTGGGGTTCAATGCCATCCCGATGTAAGTCTAGTCCATAGTCCATTGTGGCTGTGAATTGTGATTTTGTAATCCAGAGGAAACGTTTCGTGTCGTGTTAGGCCGACTACTTTACGAGTTATCTCAGGAGCTCTCATCATTCCATATCAATGTGATACCGAATATCTTACGAGTTGTCTCACTAGTCAGCACAGTTGGTTACTATGCGTCGACCACGCGTCGGATACAAGCTGCGTTACTCATGTCGCTGCAAACATTGTGCCTGTGAATTGTCTCCCGGAGACAATTCACAACGCCCTCTCCCGGAGAGGGCGCTCCAGAAGTGGAGTCCCACACCGAGGCTGAGAGCAGCGACTCCCTGGATTCGCTTCATCGGGACGCCTTTTTCCCGAGTCCCTGTACTCTCAGCGACTCCCCCCTGGATTCAAGTCAATTCGACCTTTTCCTGAGTGATTCCAAAAGTGACGAAGATGACTCTCTCTCGCCGCTGATCCGGATGTGACCGGCCTCCTGGCCTACAGACGGCATTCCACACAGGTCGCCGAACGGGTGTACGGACAGCGATTTCGGCACCAGGTAGACAGCACCTCCCAGAGGCAGCTGTTCGCTCGGATTGAGGAGTACATGGCTTCCGCGCTGGAGGAGTCGCCAGCCGCGGAGGAGCTGGTGGAGCCCGACCGGGTCCCCTCCCGACCTGCCACCGAGGACGACGAGTCTAGCGAGGACTAGCGTATCCCAGTGTTCGGCGATGCAGTAGTGTTTGTTTTTTTGTGTTCGACTTGTATGACTGGGGCAAGAAGCACGACACTACACGCAGGCAGATACATGTCACCATATAAAGTTAAAGGGACTACTCCAGGTCCTCAGGGGTTTGAAGTAAGCTAAGTGTTTTAGCTGCTGAGACCGTTAAATCAAGCATTCGCAATCAGAGTACAATAAGTACCCTTTGGTAGATAATGGAATTTTGTTATTTTAATTAAGTTAATTTTCAGAACATTACCGATTTATTTGTTTACCTGTAATGCTGGCAATTTTAGTCAACTATGACTATCCATGACCACTGGTCATGGATAGTCATAGTTGACCAGTTTGCTGCTGAAGAAAACAATAGTTCTAGTAACTGAGTTACAGTCACATTCGTTATCTATGGATTGTATAATTTGACTTGAAATTGAATTTGTGACCGATTGCTATCTTCTCCGGAGGTTGGAACAACAACCCCACGGCCGCACAGTTCACGGCGATGTTCCGCCACCTGCTGCACCGCTGCGGTGTCTTGGCCGGCAGCATCGGGAACGCCGTGGTCCCTGGACCCGACGTCCCTGCTGGCGGTAGGCCACCCGGCCCACCAACGACTGTGAGCAAGCTCAAAGGGAATGAGCGTAAGTTCATTTCAATAGTAGGGCAATATCTACAGTAAATGTAACACGAAATTGGTTTTTCGTTGCAGTGAGCTAGACCACTGGAGAAGACTGCCCCGACGCTGGCCCCCAACTCACCAGCGGCACACAACATCAAGGAGCCGCAGATCCACCGAGACAGTGTCCATTTAGGACACACAGGTGAGTATTCTGTCATGTAGTGGCTTGCAGTGTTTACCTTTGCAGTGTTTACCTTTGCAGTGTTTTAGCGTGCTCGCAAACGCTGTGTTTTAGTACGCAGACATGCTTGTGCAGAATGCGCCGCGCCAGGTTGGCAGGCAGATGTGAAATACAGACTCACGTGGCAGATCGGGGATTGTGATGGTCCTGCAGGGATTACGATAGAACATATTCGTTCAGTCATATGACATACCATGCATGGTCAGTTTGCTGATAATGCACCAAGTGATGTCCCTGCTGCTTTCGACAAAATCAGGATGAGCGTATAGGAGTCTGCCAGAATAGCGTGCCATTGCCTACGATGGGCTCCACGCAGTGAAAGAGTGAAAGGGCTTCCACGGTGACAGCATCTCTGAACACATATGACCAAAATAGAAATCCTGACTGGGAGAAGAAGCTGAGATCCCTAGATCAGGCTGAGAAGTTCGGTGGTAAGGTAACTCTGCTACCCGACATGGTCATAGGTCTGAGGCAGCCGCCCTAGAAATGTATAGAGCACTGGCAGTGACGGAGGAGAGTCACCACCTGCAGCGATGTGGACTGATTGTGCCTCCCAGCTGCCCATGGCTTAGCTGCTACTCTGACGGGATCCTTATGAAAGATGGGTGGCCTGTTGAGCTTGTAGATGTCAAAAGTCCTTTTTGTGGTGAGAAGCTCTCAGCGCATGAGATCCTCTAATCATAAGCTGTGGACTCCCTGCTATATAGCCAGGACGGTGAGTGCCAGCTGAAAAGGCGGCACCGCTACTCTTCACAGGTTCAGCTTAATATGGCTATATTGCCTGTTGAGCTGTGTGACCTGGTCATCTATGGAAAGGATAGTATCGCAGTGCTGGGTGTTCCTCGCGAGCAGCTGTACAATGACACCCTCATTCGGTCCCCGCACAAAACTTATTTGGCAATGGTGCTATGATGCTCCCTGGCCTGGCCAGCTATCTTCGGCCCGGGAGCTGGCGAAGAAGCTATCCCTAAAAAACAAAAAAAAAAAGCGTCGGAAGTACAGATGCCACATTTTTGCAACTACATTACCCGCCCCACCCCGCAGCCATCAATTGTCCAACCACAACTATCCACCATTTGGTTTAGGCTGAATTGGGCCCGCAAATGGAGGTGTCGGACACTCGACCAAGACGTGTCGAACCGAAAGACGGTCACCATTACTCGCACAAACAGACCTGGAACCAACACCAATAAGGTATCCATTGGGTCTGAGACATGTCAGTAAGAATGAGAAGTAGTGGCGAGCGGCACTGCACAGGACAAGAACGGAGGAATCAAGACCGAGGCAACTGAAAGAACTGCAGAGACTGCATGTTTCGCTAAATGGTATCTCATCAGCGCTCGATGAATGCAGCTCGCGTCAGACGGCCGCCTGACAATCCACAGCCTGCGCATCGGCTCTGCAACAGCCGTGGCCGTGGCCGGCGTCTCTGAGAGCGTCATCCGCATCTCCGGCCTGCACATCAAACGTGACAATTTCTGACGGCACGAGTGCAGTGCAGAGTGCAGTATTCAGCCAGTTGCACTCGGCCAGAGAGCAGGTTCCAAGCAAGATTCTGTGCAGGATCCTGGTAACAATTTCTTACATAATCCTCTCGGTAACAATTTCTTGCATAATCCTGCAAGAATAGTCCTGCATGACAGTTATCCAGGATAGCTTCACTATGGGGCTGAAGCTTTTGACCTCTCAATGGAGCTTCCCCCTTAAATAACCACTGATATGGGACTGTAACGAAGAGACTCGGACTTCATGGTGCGTGGTATAACTAGCAATGGAAGCAGAGTGTGGGTTACTTCCGTCAAACGGACTGTGAAAGCGGTGAGCTTAAGAAGTCTCCTTAAGCTCACTGAAACTGAAATCGGTGCATCTGCGGCGCTGAAGAAGATGTCAGTCATCATTGGACCTCAGGTGCTAAATGGTCGCTCAACTCCTTGCTTGTTGTGAACCGGAGCTCCAGTCCGTCTTAATCCGAGAAGACTCCACGATTTCTGATAGAGTGAGGCGGAGATCCGGACTTGTTTGTTTGTTTATTGGGGCTTTAGGGCGCGTCGACTGCAAAGGTCATTTTGCGCCCATAACGTCGCGCTAGTAAAACAAGTGTTTCAAAAGAAGAAACTTTCTAGATATCAAGACTAGAAAGTAGAAGACTTTATAAAAAAGACAGGGTAAAATAAAACAACGCAAAAGCGTCGTAATAGACAACTGACTAGACAAGGAGACTAGAGAGGATTTGGGTCAGGTCGAGTAAATCACTTGGAATTTGACTGCACGGATAAAGGAAAAGATGTTGCCAGATAAAACCCAGGGTGACTCGTCACCCAGCAGGTGGCGGACAGTGGTACCCGGAGCGATGCGGCCGAGGTAGCGCGTCCGGTCTGGTTCTAAAAGTGGACAAGATAAGAGCACGTGAGCGACGGTAAGAGGCGCGGAACAACCGTTGCAAATGGCCTGCTCGTCTCCGCGGAGGAGGTGGCCATGCGTGGCATATGTATGGCCGATTCGGAGCCTGCACAAGATCACCTCGTTGGACCGGTTGTCTTGCAAGCAAGACCTCCATGGCTCCAAAGTCGGCTTCACCTCACGGAGCTTTCCGCCTCCACGTAGGCTCCACTCTGCCTGCCACTCAGAGAGAATGAAAGATCGCACAGCCGAATAAAGGTCACGCGCCGGCAATGGCAGACGTCGAGTGCAGGAGGCTGCGGCCGCGCGCCTCGCGGCCGCATCTGCCAGCTCGTTGCCGTGTATGCCGACGTGGCTGGGAATCCAGCAGAACTGAACAAATTTTCCCGATTGTTCCACTGACTGAAGTCGAGCTAAAATGTCTTGAACGATCGGGTCAACTGGATTAAAACTCCGTAACGCCAAAAGGCTACTTAGGGAGTCCGATAAAATCAAGTAAGAAAGGCCGTCCGACACCTCGATAAAACACAGAGCCTTCTCGATGGCGACTAGCTCAGATGAAAACACCGAGGCAAAAGAAGGTAGAGAGAATGAGCGGGTATCGCGACCTGCGATAAAAGCACATCCCACTCCCTCAGGTGTTTTTGATCCGTCTGTAAAAACGGTGTTAAAACCATCGTACGAGACGATGTGTTGCAAGGCCCTGACTCGCGCCTCACAAGGCAGCAAGTCATCCTTCTTAACTTCGGAGAGTGAGAGATCTACTTGAGGTTTTGCGTGTTTCCAAGGCGGAGAGGACGTACCCCAGCTACGTCGTACGACACGTAAACCTATGTTGGCTGCGGAGAAGAGACCTCTCATGCGCGCTCCAAAGCAGAGCGATTGTCGCGCTCTGTCAAGTCGAGTGTAGTAGGTGGAGAAGACGTACGGATACGTCGGATGCGTCGGGAACTGACGCAGTTTCAGCGCATAGCGCATCCCAAGCATCTGGCGGCGTAGGGATAGAGGCGGCTCGTGCGCCTCAGCAAGAAGGCTGCTGCTGGGCGAGGTGCGGAATGCTCCGGT